CCCAGTGTGCCCCTGCCCTGGCCTGCAAGGCGCTGGGGCTGCTGTGGAACCACTGAAGAGAGAGGAGTTGCTTTTGAAGACTCCTCAAAAGGGCCTGCATTGATGTGGCATTGCACGAGCCCTTAAAACATCTTCAGAGATGCTTCTGCAATCAGAGCTCTCAATTATCCTCCTCTTTTTGTAGTTAATGGTCTGGTTCTGGCTGGCAATTTGTTGCTTTGAGCTCTTCCCGCTCCTCCACAATATCAAGAAGCAAATCCTTTTGCATGGCCGGGACTCATCGCGCTCAATGCTAGGCACTTATTGCCTCCTTTGTGAGGGGCACGCTAGCTGCGGGCTCTTTCCTCTAGCAGAGGGGAGTTCCTAGGGCACCTGATCCCAGAGTCCTAAGGTAACGAGATTCTTTGTGTAGGTGGCTGAAGTTGGTCTGCAGGAGTCAAGGACAGCCCATCTCTGTGCTTGCTACAGCTGGAACATGAGAGCTCTTGTTGCTAAGGACCTGGGCTGAAAAAACAGGGTGCAAACACACAGCAACTATCAATAGCTCTTTGCAAACAGCAGTTGGCCAATGTGTCCAAAACTGCGGAAGCATACAGCTGTGAGTGCAGTGCTGATACGCTTGCTGTGGGTGGGCAATTACCAATAATGCTTGCTAAAAGGCCTCCTCAAGGTTGGCAGCTCTAGAGGCACTCACTGCAACTGTGAAAAGAAAAATACTGTGCACTCGGAGATCTGGTGGCACACCTTGCACATCTAAAAGAGCCCTCTGGCCTCAAGACTCCTCCTTTCTGTTACAGCATCCCACTAACAGCTTTCATCAAAGGTCAACAGATGCTTCTTCCATACCATTAAATGAATAATCAAGGGAGCAAGATGGGAGTGGAGGCACAGGGATGGTGAAGGATATGTAAACGCTTAAAGACCTCAGGGATCAATAAGCCTGTTTCAGAGATAGGACAGCAAGATGCCATTTAAATGACTGCCACTTTATGGAGAGGTTTAAATTCAGCCTGTGTTATCTGCTGACCTACACTGATGCCACCACAGAAGCAAGCATACGCCACCCTCTCTGCACCACCCAGCTGCTGCGCGCTGCCCTGGGGCGCTCACAGAGGGGCTGCTGTGTCCCACCACACCGACGGGTGCTGGAGCGTTTGCAGCTGAGCTCTCTGAAGAGGTTGCCTGGGCCCAGGGTGAGAAGTTCATGCTCATTCGCCATTAGCATCTTGCTCATTCCCCTGCCATCAAGAAGACCACCAGCACTTGATTTATCTGTGGTCAGGATAGAGTGTCATTTATTTCCACCATTTCAGTAGTAAAACTGAGCTAGAAGGTCCTTTTTTTTTTTTTTTTTAAGTAATTCCTTGCTCCAGCCAATAACTGAACACTGCAGTAGTGCACTTTGCTACCAACGTGAGACTGGGTCGTGGTAATGAAACCCTCTGACGGTGCCCAATTGCACAGGGGCTGGGAAGAGTAACGTGATCAGGACCCGTGTTTGTCAGGGACCAGATGGGTAGCTGTGAGGCTGTCTTTGACTCCAGGAAAACTTCACCAAAGATTCATTTTTTTTAAAGCACACCAAAGGACTCTGTTGGCTGACCGAGGAGGATCATGATGCTGCACCATCAGGTTGTTTTTTGTTGTTTGGCATCAATTTACCCATTTTTCTTTCTGCTGCTGAAGGAGGAAGAAGACCCCTCCCGTGCAAGCCGCACCGGTCTTGCCCGTGGGCCATGCTGCCAGGGCCACACTAAAGGCACGCGCGCCTTGCTGCGGCTTCTCCAACACGGGGGCGCCCCCC